ACACTCCACAGGGTTCGACTCGGCTCTCTCCTGTCGCAGAATGGCCGGCATCCGCTCCAAGCAGCCCAACATCCCTCAATCGCAGTCGAACCCTACCATCCCAACGAACCGGCCCCGACGACGACAGGCACCGCTCGAGGCTGTTGAGAAAGCAAAAACCACAATCACCCCTTCCAGACGGCCTGTACCCAGGGGCTAACGTGAGCGCCTAGCACCTTGGTTTCCGGAAGCGGAAAACAAAGGTGATGAAGCGCGCGAGTGGCGACATGCGACCGCTACGACCCTGGCGTGATGTTATACCTGGTCTGTCGAGGAGGTGGGGAGCGAGTCGCAACGCTGTTACTCGGAGCCTGGCCCTGCCGGCTGTTCTTGTATAGTTTCATCATCACATCGGTGTTCCCCTTGCTCGTTTCTGTACGCTTTCGTCACTCTTTCCGCTCTCTTGCGTAGTATCGATAGGGACAGAGGGTAGTAAGTACCAATGTATATTTCTAACTTGCTTGGGCAACGTGAGCAGTTGCCGATCACAACCGCAGTCAGCCTAATCTGGGCCCATATGGCCCAAAGGGAATGAGCTGGAGGCAGTGAGGGTATGTGGGAGAGTGTCGATTGCAATGTCACATCTGAATTAGCACTCGCCGAGTGATTACGGCGAGCTCCCACTGTCGTGCCTCCTGCCTCCATGTCTTCCACCCTTTTAATGCAGCGTGGCGACGACTATACGATGCTCCAAGTACCATCCATCCGTGACAGCCCCGCCACCCCAGAGATGCAGACCTATTACGATGACCCCGTAAGCGTGTTCCTCTTTTTCAACCGAATATATATATTAGTAAAATATTGTTGTTGGAATGCCCGCCTCCGTTCCTCTTGACTACCACCACGACGCTCGAAACACGTCCACTGACTGCCGTGCAGATTGTTCAGAGCCAGCCTGGCACCCACGCTCCTTCAACCCTCCGATCCACAGCAGACATAATATCCAACCCACACTTTAGAAACTCCCAACCCTCGGCTTACGCTGAAGCGCCCTACATGCAGCCCGCGAACCCATACGAGAATTTGGAGCCCCCTCGCAACAGCGATTGGCTAGAAAAGACCCAAAGATCCAACAAACGGTCCAAGTTCATTGTCCGTGTTCCCTCGCTGTCACGACCTAGATTCTCACATGACAGCTTGTCGTCCCAGGTCATCGGCTCCGTGTTGACGCTCGCTGTCTTAATTGCCGTTGGCGTCGCCCTTGGTGTCACCCTCACGAAAAAGAACGGCGGGGGCAGCGGCGGCACTTCCTCGTCGACCAGTGCACCTCCAGGCACGAATCCCAATGACCCCAGCAACTTCCAGAAAAACCCTGCTTTAAAGCAGGCATTCTGGGGTGTAGCGTACACTCCCATTGGAGCTCAATTACCCAACTGTGGTGTAACCCAAGGTGAGTCTTGGCCCTCTTTCTCCCACAATGTATGCTCAATGGTCGATAGATGTTGTCGTCGAGGACATACAGGTACTTGGTACTTTTATCCTACTCGCATTCGACTCATAGCCCTCAAGCTCATGTCTCAAATCACGACCAACATCCGTCTCTATGGTGCAGACTGTAACCAGTCAGCGCTCGTTCTTGCAGCCATTCAAGAGACCAAGGTAAATATGAGTGTATGGCTTGGAAATTACCCAGTGTCCACGGACAATGGAACTGCCTACGAACGTCAAAAAGGATTGATTCAGGCCGCGCTCCAGCAGTATGGTGCTGCCAACGTTGCCGGCGTAACTGTCGGGAACGAATTCATCCTGGAGTAGGTGTTCTGCGCGTGCACCCATCACGTCACTTATCCTGGGCCAACAGTTATATCACAGAGGCAGGTCAAACAGATCCCAACGGCTCCGCCGGAAACCAAGGCAAGTTTCCGTCATGGTCGTTATTATGCGCTCCTCTCAAGTTTCATTATAGCTGCCGCGATGCTTATCGCGTGGATCCAAGACACTCGTAACATGCTCTCCTCGTTGAACCTGGGAAAGACCATACCTGTTGGTAATTCTGACGCGGGGAGCTACTTCAACACGCAAGTGCTTGAAGCGGTGGACTACGGCCTGTCCAATGTTCACCCATGGTTTGCGAACCAGAGCATCGCGGATGCAGCTGCATGGACCAATACCTTCTTCCAGGAAACGAATGTCCAGGCTGCCGCAGCGCTTCCCAACAAGCCTCACATGTACATTGCCGAGACTGGTTGGCCAACGGTATGCCACTCTTTGAGCCGACCGCACTCCTGTACTGAACCTCGCTTGGTTAGGATACGTCGACATTCAACTACAACCCGAACGATGGCCCGTCGACCGCCTCCGTCGCTAACTTGCAGGTATGCTCGTTCGAATCATCATCTGTTGACAGTACTCAATTGTTCTCAGTACTTCATTGACACATTCGCCTGCCAAGGCAAGTAGTATTTCCGAGATTTACAGGTGGTGTGCCACTGATCCCATCGTGTAGCCACCAAAAATGGCACGCAGTACTTTTTCTTCGAGGTGTGTTTCCACTTTTGCTTTTTTGAGATGCGTTGGCTCATTGTGCTGTAGTACAACGACCAGCCATGGCAAGTGCGTATCCACCTCCTCGAAGTCGGTGGTGCGAGAATACTCACATTGTATTTCAGGCTGCGCAGTATGGTGGTGTCGAGGTAACTGTTCCTTGGTGCCAGTTTGATAGCAACGACTCACACGGTGCTGACAGGGTTACTGGGGTCTGTTCGATTCAAAGTAAGTCTTGCCAAGCCTGTCAAACAGTAGGTCATTGAACAATTATTTTACAGGGGCAACTTTAAGAATCTCACTCTTCCCGACTGTCCTGCATGAAGTCTCTTTCCCCGGTGGAACTATCCCTCGGTGCCCCATCTGTAACCCCCTTCATGCACTCCACTCGATTCCTTCTTTGTATCTAATTGGATTTGTACTTTGTTCTACCTCTCACGGATCACGGACCCCGCTCCTCACCTCACCCTATAACCCCAATGTCTCGGCGGCTACCCCGTTCTGTCTTTGCCCCATTCATCGGTTTCATGCACGCAACGCGACGGACCGCTGCGTTGAGACAACGATGGATGTGGAGAAATGGTCGTTTACATACCATTTGGACCCAATGATACGTTTTGTTCGACGGACATGTTTATACCGTTGGCAAGGATACTTGTCAGCGTTTATCCAGTTATTATGTGAAATTGAGGACACTTTGGATGATGAAAGTGCGAGCCTTACCGTTGGGAATTTGCAACCCAGTCGGAGCACACGCAGCATCGTGATGAAGTTGGCCCGTTGGTAACACTGGCAGGCTGCCAGATTCTAGGCCCGAAAAATTTGCAAGCGAGAAATCCCAAAAAAAAACTTTTCGTGAACGCGAGACCTCTAGCGAGCGATTTCGGGTACACGTCGGTTTGTAAAAATTGTACAATCAACATTTTTTTTGGCGATTATGGAGCCAATATGTAGATTATGTACATGTCTTGGATTCCAGCATTATTGCAGGACATAATTTAAAATAATCTCATGAGTTGATTGGACCCTCTTTCTATAGTGTGTATACAGCTATTATACAATGTACATACAGCTACTATACCATGTACATACAGTGGAACCTGTCAGCGCATGTGCGTCGTACTATACGAGCTACATCTTCTGTTACCCATGGATCCAGTATTTTGTAGATATACATCACACATAGACTCAGATCATACAATGTTTTTAGATTACAACATGTATGCTATGTTATTTCTACCCGTGACTGGCGGGAGCGGAGCAGTGTGCTTGAGCACATGTCGCAGGTGCGGTGGAGATGCCGGGCACAGCAAATGGAGTGCGTCGATGTGGCTGCGTCATCCGATCGTACCTCTTTTTCGTTGAGTTCCTCTCTCTCGCGCTCCTTTTCCATTCTCCCCACCATGGCGACTTCTTGCAACGTCGTGGGCATTATCGGCAACTGGCAGGAGCGGAGTGTGTGCGCACGCGCGGTGCGCGGCAGGGCACGGCAAGTGGAGGCAATGGTGCGCGAGTGAGCATGCATGCTCATGCTCATGGGTTGCGGCGCGAGATGAGGGCAGGAGAATGAATTTGAGGACAAGGGGAGGGCAGGGTGATCAGTGACGAGCCTTGGGTGAGGGTGAAGCAAAGTCGAGCCCGTGTGAGCGACACGTTGAGGCAAGGCAAGAGGCAAGGAGAGGTGAGCGAAACAAAGGAGAGGCGAGCACCAAGTCTTGAAAACCGTGTGAGTTTTCGTACCCCATGACCCGTGCCCGACTTGCGCTCGCCACTCGAAGTATCCAAGTGTCTGGTATATATGTACATTGTACATTCAGGCAATGTGTACTCTATAATTTTTGGTGTCAATTATCCAAATTATCTGTCATATAATTGTAACAAACATGTACACATGGTCCCTGGCAATTAATGCAGGCACACCAACTCCATACCAGTGTGCTATATGCTAAGTATCCTTCCCGTAATAGGTGAGATATCTCTGCCAAATGTCACGCTTGGCGTCTCCGTTGAACAAATTCTTATTTTATTGCATGCATACGGTATGAATGTGTTTATAATATGGGTTGCGTTAAAAAAATTGGATTCCGGCAAGTGTACACTATTTGATTTTTGCGTTCCGACGTGATAGGGACGCTGTTACATGTGATCGTTTGCTACGCGGACGTTTCATCTGGTCCAACCGTTGCTGAGTGAGCCAGTTCAACTTGAACGTCTGAACGACGGGCCCGCCAGAAAGAAAAAAAGAGAGAATGTTACCGACAGAAAGGGCGTCCCCCCAAAGAGAGTGCATCAGCCGGGAGTCGAACCCGGAGCTAGGCCATGGGAAGACCCAATGTTACCGCTACACCACTAATGCGCATTCCATGTCGGGGCGTGTCTTGGTGACCCCTATGTATCGGTGATTGGCAGGTTGTGTTGAATGAGGCTCGCTGTGGAATTGTTGCGTTCTAGGTGGGACGTGACGTCCTACTCTACAAGCATTAGTGGTGTAGCGGTAACATTGGGTCTTCCCATGGCCTAGCTCCGGGTTCGACTCCCGGCTGATGCAGTTCTTTTTGTGCTCTTCCTACCAAGGTATCTAAATTAGGGACGATTCATCTCACAGAACGTGTGCGATACTCGCGTATCATGGCGCCGCATCAAGCCAACTCTCCCTCGCTCCGCTCTTGCTCCACCTCCCAGATCTCTCTCACACCTTGTCTGAACCACACGACGTTCCACTCCACGAGGCCCCTCCTCATCTCGAACACGGGCGTGGGCAGCGAGGCGACAAGTGCCAGGTGAGGCGTGACGAGGTGGTAGGTGAGCGTGATTGGTTGAGACGGCGACAGAGACGTCGATGCGGATGGGTAAAACTGGGCTTTGGTACTCGACTTGAAAGGATCAGGGGTGTCAGTCTGAGGAGGGAGGTTGGGCGACGTGGAAGCTGTCGCGGCGGACGGTGCGGGTGTCGAGGGGAGCACGTCGGATGGCGTGTTGGACCTGCTCCCTGGGATCAGCGAGGTCGAAGCTGTCTAACCAGGTAATGATCCTACTTGTACAATGGTCCGAACGAGTTGAGCATTTGAAGATAATCGCAGCAGAGGTTGTGTGTTGCTTGGTCGACAGGGGAGGCATCGGTCGCGACATAGATCTTGCTTGTCGTGTCGAACAGAAATGCCTTTGGAGACGAGGTGTTCTTGGGAGGTGAGTTAGAACCTAGACACGGAAAGGCGCAATGGGGTGTGGAGGGGGAGGACTGACGGCGCAAAAGACGTTGAGCAGGTTTTCGAGATAAGGTAGTGAATCGATGAGCTTGTGAATGACGCGCGAAAAGGCGTCTTGAAGCGAGTAATCGTAGACGGACGTGAGGTGGAAATTCAGAGGAACCTGTTCGTATTCGGGTGATTCATCTACCAGTCGGTCCATGACGCGCTCGTGGATCTGGCGAAAGTTCTCTGTCTCGGTGTCATCCAGCCACTCATCTCGGGTGGAACGAAGAAACGCACCGATCTTGTCGTCCTCTTGTAGTTTCTCTGCTTTGTGCACAAAGACCTCGAGGTTAATGTTTGGGTTGTCTTGGCATGCGGCGACGATGAACTCGACGAGCTTGACCACAGGTTGTTGGTAAAGATCCTGTGCAAAGATGAGCTCGTCCTTGTGGGATGGCGACGTGTGCTCACCCGGATATCGATGACGAACACGATGCTCGCAAATTCGGAGAGAGGGGCCCCTAGGGTGTCGACTGTGATGTTTCCAGGGCAGTCCCATATCTCGAGCGGGATCAGAGTGCTGCCCGAGGATGTTTGTGAAGGCGGCGAACGGGCGGATGTGGGGGACTCACTCGAATGGGTGCTTCGTGACGCGCATGGTGGGTTCCAGGAAGAACGTCTGCTTGGACGGCAAGTTCTTGAACAGGACTTGCAAGATGGACGTTTTGCCGCTCCTGTGGGGTGATCATTGCGTTCAGTGGCCGTGCCAGACGAGATGTTTGATGAGATGAACCTCCTTGTACCCAAGAGAAGGATCTTTGACCGGTGTAACGGGACATGTCGTGGTTTGGCAAGCTTGAGATAGGACTCTTGTTGTTGCTGACCGAGTGGGCCCATGGTCTTAGTACTAGCACCGCCACACATCCACTCCACTCACGTTCATTCATATCGTCGCACGTTCGTGAAAAACTTTTCATCACGGGATAGCGGGGAGTTTGTTCCGGCCGTCGCCCCGTCTTGGGCAGATTCTCGTCATATTTTATCTCTCCCTATCTCTCTCCCTTGCGTCCACCAAACCTTGTTCGGTTCCCTGCTGTGATGAAGTTTGGAAGAAAAATCACGGTACGCATCGTCTTTTCTCGACCCTCGTTTCGTACAAACGCGTCCGTGGCGTAGGCGAGTATCTACGATGAGTGGAAGCCATTCTATATTGATTACAACCTCCTCAAGCGAGAGCTCAAGGTCTGTGTCGTCTCACTCCGCTGTCTCTTCTTCTTTAACCTCCCCCCCCCTCCGTCTAGACTCGCACCACGTCCCGCGACTGGGATGACAAGGACGAACGCGAATTCACCGCCATGCTCAAGAGAGAGCTGGACAAGGTTCACGATTTCCAGAAGCAAAAGGTTGTTTTTTGACGGCTCCGCGTCAATTGAGGCGTCTGTCGCTCACGCCCAAAATATTGAACAGACCTCGGAACTCTCCCAACGTATTCGTGACGCCGAACGCGACGTGAAGCGTCTCGTGGCGCAGCAGAGTTTCCACTCATCGTCCGAGCAGTCTCCGATTACTCCCAGCGACCCCGAGTCTCTTCATCCCCGTACCTCCGATTATGGCCCGGACGAAGGGTCCGACGACGAAGACGACCTCGAAGGAAGTGGTGATTCCTATGACGAACTCGAGGATCTTTTTCACGGACTCGAGGTGGAAGTGGCCACGCTCGTCGCAGACGTACATGATCTCGCCTTGTACACAAAACTCAATATCACAGGATTTTTAAAGATCCTCAAGGTTCGTGTGGCTGCCCAGTTGCGTTTCTCCACTTCTAATGGGACTCCAGAAACATGATGTTGGTCACGTCTTGTATGGCCGTTATGCCGGTGCACTGATTTCGTTCTCAGAAACAAACACATCTACCACTCAAACCCACATTTGTTCAAGATTACTTGGAAGAGCGACCGTTTTACAAATATAATTGGGATGCACTCATCGTAAAGCTTTCGAAATTGTACAACCTCGTTCGCACACGTGGTCACCCCGTCGTCGGCGATTCAAGTGCTGGCGGCAACCAGAGTGCGTTCGTGCGACAAACGACGAAATACTGGGTAACAACTTTTACTTGTTCCTGAATTGTAGTCTCACCCATGATCAGGTGCACCCAGACAATCTTGTCCCACTCAAACTAGCCATTTTGAAACACCTGCCTGTGCTTGGTCTGTCCCGTTTCCGCAATTACGGTTCATGCGTATCTGATTTCGATCCTGGCTGGTAGTATTCAATGCGGAGAAAGAATTCGAAGCCAAGGATGCAGGTAACTTCCCAGGTTCTTCTGACGCCACCTGGTCTCACGGGCATGAATAGCAATCACATCCATATACTTTGACAATGAAGATCTGGACCTCTACCTTGGTCGCCTCGAAAAGACAGAGGGTGCTGAAGCAATCCGTTTGCGGTGGTACGGGGATATCGACGTCAAGACCGTAAGTCCGCAGAATACAAGTCACCCTACGGCCAATGTCATTTTTCATTGACAGATTTTTGTGGAACGTAAAACTCACCGAGAAGATTGGACTGGAGAGAAATCAGTTAAAGCCCGTTTTCCCATCAAGGAGCATCTAGTGAACGCGTTCTTGCGAGGTGAATATACCACGGACGCTGAAATGCAAGCTTTGGCGGATAGCGGCAGGAAAAGTCAGAGTGAAGTCGATTCGATGATTCAGCTTGCCAGTGAGGTGCAATATCATGTCTTGACCCGCAAGCTTGTACCAGGTGAGGTGTCTTCCGGGCATATATGGTTTACTTTGTTGACGACACACCTTTAGTCATGCGAACCTTTTACAATCGAACTGCATTCCAGTTGCCGGGTGATGCTCGTGTGCGGATCTCTCTTGATACTGAGCTCACCATGGTCAGAGAAGATAATTGGGATGGGCGTGTGCGCTCGGGTGACAACTGGCGTCGCACTGACATAGGGATCGATCATCCCTTTGATCAGGTGCCTGCTGAAGACAAGGAACTGTTCAAATATGGTGTCCTAGAAGTCAAGTTGCAGACACAGTTTGGCCAAGAACCTCCCAAATGGGTGACGGACCTAGTTCAATCCCATCTGGTTGAAGCTGTCCCAAAATTCAGGTCAGTGATAACCATTTTCGCTTATCCTCACTGCTCATGCAAGCACAGTAAATTCATACATGGATGTGCTACCCTTCTTCCTAGCCGGACAGACCTGGTTCCATTCTGGCTTCCGCAGAGTAAGTTGTGGAGAAAACCGTGTAGGAAAGTGACTGACTGACTTGGCTATCTTTTGTAGTGGAGACCGACATCCTAAAGCCTAACACTGGTTACTTGACGGTAGAACGACCTCTTGTCTCGTCTTCGAGGGGTTCCTTTTCCGGTGACACGACACCATCTCATGCGTACGCTGAGCCAGTCTCCGAAGGGGAAGAGGATGAACTCATGGACCTGTCGCCCGCAAGGGATGAAGAGAGACGTACAGGTCTTTCTCACATGGATGTCGCAGCAGCCGTTGCGTATCGCCTGAGGGAGCGCGACGATGGCGCATCAAGTAGTTCGGGTCCGTCTTCGAGAGAAGAAGTTGACGAACGTACTCCGTTGTTAGAACGGCGCCAGGAGGAGCACGTCTCTGATCAGCGACGTCCTCAGCCAAAACCTCTGTCCATCAGTCCCTTGACATCATCAACAGCGTTTGACAAAACGTTGAAGGAGCGGTTCGACGGAATCCAGAACGGTGACAACCAAGCGGCCGCTCGGCTTCCCGAAGCTCAAGGGCTCAACGAGGAAGAAATACCAGAACAGGAAAGACTACTCGTTCGTGACTGGATCGCACCGTCTGGAAAGAAGATTGCTGTACCTGTTCGCATCGAGCCCAAGGTCTATTTCGCCAACGAACGGACGTTCCTGGCGAGTTTCTTACTTTGTGGACATCGCGTCCCGTACTGATATGATACATGCGATCACAGAGATGGCTAAACTTTGCTGTCCTCATAAGCACTATCGCGACGACGCTCCTGAACTTTGTTCCTCCGGACGATACCAGAGGGCTTATCAGTGCAGGGCTCTTCACGTTGGCGGCACTACTCTCCATCGCCTATTCGGCCGTCGTCTTTGTATACCGTGCGCTACGTCTTCGCGCGCGCAGTGCCGAAGGACTTTACTACGACAAGTACGGTCCGAGTATCTTGTGCTTCGTACTGTTGGTCGCATTGGCTGTCAATGTCGGCTTGCGCCTCGCTGAGATGGCAGAGGGGTGAATGTGCGACGTTCAGGTTATCTGGCTTGATGAGTTTCTATTCCATATATGCACATTGGACTCTGCATTACAAGTCTCGTCCACTTTTTG